AGCTACATTTCACTAAACGGACAGCCTCTTTTCGTGATAACGTTAAATTGTAGGTATTCGATCAGGACCATGTGATTTTTTTGCTTCTATATACTTAAGTCCGTTCCCTTTCGCGTATCGTTACACTTGTTATGTTTTGTTCAGTTCCCTCTCGCATTTATCGCTGGGTATTGTTAAAAAACTGGTAAGCAACCGCACACACTGCAGTCGAGCAGGCGAGTCTTCTCCCACTGATGACGAACGTTTCATGTTATTTGAGCGTCCCGCCTGTCCTATGCGCCCTACTAGGACACAAGGAACGGCTAACGTCCCTGTACTTCCTTTCCTCTTCCCCCTCCTCCTACAACAAGGAAACGGTACGCGATACACATGACCTCCAACGAAATAATGAACTCTTGAATGTACACTCCCTTCTTGACATTTGGGAGTAATTCAGTTAATCGATTACATGGCCAGTAGTGCCACTTTCCAGTTTTTGATGATCTCACAAAATCGCGAAAGCATTGCCGAGAATTTGGCAACCCTTTTTCACTCTATGAGAAATCGTACACGTACACTCGCCTACCGCACTCAATTTTCATCGCACCTGAAGTTTCGTCTATTTCTTTTTTAACTTCGGTTTCGTTTCAACTCATTCCTGTGACCTTTCAATTGGCGTCTCAACACTGCAGCCTTTCAACGAAGGCTCCCCAAGTGCCGTCTAATTTCCTCTGTAATGCTGTAGATATACGCGCGACTCCCCAATAATGCACCTTCTTTCTACTAAGAGACATTCGAAGCGAAGTAATAGGGGGGGGGTTAGAGAGGGGCAAGTCACTGACCAGTACTTTACATTGCCCGTGTCAGAAGGCAGTAGTAGTAGTAGTAGTAGTAGCAGTAGTAGTAGTAGTAGTAGTAGTAGTAGTAGTAGTAGTAGTAGTAGTAGTAGTAGAAACTTTATCTTTTTCTTGGACTTGAAAGAGGGAAAGGGTGAGTGCCCATCTTGTAGCCTTTGCCAACGGCTATGTCTCCATTCGTCTGAAGATGTCTGTCGGCTCAGAAAGAGTACTCACAAAAGTTGCAACAGCTTCCACTTTCATAATTTCTGTGCACATTTGCTGAAACAAACAAGGCTCTATATATTTACAGCCTGGGCCTTACGTCAATAACCCATAGCTTTGTCTCTCAAATAAGGGTCTGCAAAGCCAAGTTTCGTTGTTCGCAAACTCCACCATTCAAAAAGCGTGTTTTTCGGAGCCATGGCAAGTCACGCCTTGTAGGACAATTATTATTGTTTTGAAACTAACCAGCCAACGGCATATGTCCTGTGACAGCGATCCCTAATGATTTTTGGTATGGTTCACAGCTTAGGAATTTAGCGTTGCGGCGTAGCCGACTCACGCTTCCATTTCTCCATGAGGTGGTGGTAAAGCTTTTGTTTTAGCCTACGACATATGCACGCGAAGCATACTTTTCTATACGCTTGCATACTTGAAGACCAAACAGCTAGAAATTGATTGAATGTGGCTGTAGGTCGTGCAACTTAAGGGCAAGCTGTTGAGAGGGAAGTGGCGTGACCCTTTAGTGAGGTCGCCTTTTGCGAGGTAGAAATTAATTACACCTATTTCATGCTCAATGTTGTAGTACTTTATGGCCACCCCCTCCTCCTCCTCCAATGTTTTTTCTCACACAAGGTGTTCCTCATTACTAGTACGAGTTATAAGCCTCCCCCAAGCATTCAAGGCTGTACTGAGGTGTCATCGAATTAAAAAAAAATAAACAAAAGCCTATGCTCACTACGTTAACGTTCATCGCATTTTGATTCTCGTGGAACTCCTGCAAGGTAATGGGTATGTGAACAAGACTACTGCCCCCATGAAGTTGACTGTCCTTGCGCACGCTAGAACGAAGCTTCTGTCAAGGCCTCTCGAGTTCATCTTGCTGAAATTGAAGTTTTCTGGATGAACAACGGTAGCAAACAGTAAAGCAGAAAATAAAGATTCCGGGGTGGTCTGCCCACTGACAGCGCCTAAGAACGCTGGACGCCGATATAGCTTCGGTTTAATGAAGTCCGTGCAGTGTCTTCAACTTCTGAAAGGTACACCAGAGCATGAACAAAGTCTTAAATACTCTTTAATACGTGGATTACCAGGCATTTAATTTCGTAGTCAAACACATTTGAGAGGAAGTAAGTGAAACGACTTCATTCCGTCCACAATCGACGCCATTAAACTGGTCGCCAGGCTAGGCGCACTCGGAGTCCATCAGGCAAAGCATGACGGCCCTCGAATGGGCCCTCTGGAGGGCGAGGATTTGAAGAGCTAAAGTCCAAGTGAGTTTCTCCATTTCCCATTGGGGAAAGGGAGACCAGCAGTGGCGCAGCCCTGCAGGGGAAAACATTAAGACAATATCGGGAGTTAACCTGCGGACATATCTTTTATGCTCCGAACTGTATATCAGTAGACGTCGTAACATTTAGGGGGCACTCGTAACGTGTAAAGTTTAGGCAGGAATGTATCCGAAGTCAGCTTCAAGACAGCGTGTCAGGTATTATTGGAAAGTCGTATTTGAACTATAAATGTCAAACCCGTGGTTGTGAATGATCCTGTCTCGAGGGAGGCAGAAAAAAGCTTGAATTTCCTATGTGATGCTACTGTTTTGCCAATAAAGCCGTATCGTTTGCCTTAATACTGATGACTCTAAGCAAAATATATGATGACTAAGCTTTTATTGGGGTTAAATGAGTGTGGCTATAGTTTTGTGCTCTATTAGATGTGAAAGAAAAGCATAGCCTGTTGCTCAGCGTATGTAGCGAAAAGTTGTAGATAGCACAATTTTAAAGAAGCTTGAGAAATATTACACTTGTATGCACGCTTGTAGCTACTGATGTGTTCCCGAATCAAGCACGAGTTTTCAGGAGAGTTACAATAGACTCTTATTTTTAATTTGTTTTTATAAGCATACTTCTTAAAAAAATTCCGGCTATTTATGAATAAATTGAGTTCTCTCATATTAGGCATTGCCACCATTTGCCATAAAGTACTTCCCATTTACTGAACACACAAGAAAGTCGACCTAGAAATCGGCAGCACAGGAGCTGAATTGATTGAAGCGTGCGAGCAAGCTGCTTACGTTGCGCTTTCGGTGGCGACTGCTGGTCGAAACTTCTCAGTAGACGTTCACTTCGTTTCGCTTTACTACGACGCTAATGCATTTGAATGCAGGTTTGTGTGAAGGACTTTGACTTGCTCAACGCATTGCTAACATTTATGCTGGGTGCACGTGACAGACCAAAACTATTTTAGAAGTGTTGTTTGTGGGGCTATATTTGGTCAGACTTCAGCGAATGGGAAAAGTCTGCGTAACTGGAGACGTCGCATGAACAAAGGAATGCACAGGACAAGCGCCGATCCTGTGCTCGTCCTGTGTGTTCCATTGTCTGTGCTACACATCTCCTTTCGGGGTGTGTCTCTCCTATAAGAATATTTGTTCTTTTTTATTGTTGTACGAGTAAGTTCACAGCCCTGACCATGTAGAGTTTGTTATTGGACCAACTAGACAAATGTACTTGAATCACTTAGCGCATGAAAGCTGCAGTCGAACAGACACTTTTTGTTTGTCAAGCAGTTGCCGTCACTATAATACCCTCCAACGAATTGAAAACAAGGGGCGTGTGCTGCAGCCGACGTTTTGATAAGCGGAGTTATCTTTTAACACAAAAGTATTTGATGTTGGAGTACACCACGCCTCCACTGATGTATTTCCGTCACGGATATGACTTTGTAAATTATATCAAAAGATTACAATGTTAAACACAAGAAGAAAACTTCTTTCGCAGGGTTTCGTACTAGCGACCTCTCAATCCACTGCGCGTGGCGCTAACCACTAGTCCACGAAGCGCACGTTGGCGATACCGTTAACCGCAAGACATTTATATACAACATATACCATTTGGTGGTCCTCAGAGCTTCGACACTTCACTGCAGCACGTTTGCGTCATCAGTAGTAAGATGGCGCCAAGGAAGTGATTTGGGCCCGCTCTAAAGGTCATTGCTTCTCGCGTATATCGTAGAGCCCCGTTTCGACTGTGCATGATCTCTCCTGTGTGCGCGCTGATCAGGCTCGTTATTTTAGAGAGCACGAAGGTCACTTCACTCGCTGCCGCTGCCGCATTTGCGAAAGCAGCACGCTGCTCACAAACAAACATGTGAAAGTTGTGAGAGTTCGCGCTTGTCCTGTGCATGTTTGTGCGTTCATTTCTTGCGTCTTTCTGTTTGAAATTCGCGCATTAAGATTCGAGCGTGGACTGTCGTTAGTCCGCGATCGCCCTGCGTAAGCCCATTTCGTGCGTGCTCTCTGTTTCAGCTGCGCGTTGCAAGTTTCGAGCTGCTTGTTGTTCTTCTCGTGACTTTGCAATTTGCCGCGGTAGCACGCATTCGTTCGCCCCTGTGGAGAAACAATGCACAATAAACACTCAAGTAGATCTGTTAAGACACGTTCCACTTTTGTGTTATACGGATTCACAGAAAGGAGGATCAGTCAGATTTTTCAATAATGTTGCAACCTTGAAAAAGTCCGCTTGTCGAAATGTCGGCTCCACCACCCACCACCCACCCTCCATTATTCCATTTCTCATCGTCAGCTTCCAGCGTTCCCTTCTCGCCTTTCTTTCGGAACTCCAGCAATCTGTGGGATAGCTTAATTCGAAGTGTCCTCTGAATGACGTAGAGTCTAAACGTAGATACGTACTGCCGCGGTAGTTTAGGATTATCGCGAGCAATATGTGAGCTTTTCAGCATTCGTCCCGTCGCTTAGGGCCAGTTTTCTTCATTGATTTTGCCCAGCTAGTAATAATTATATACTATTTATGTAGGTCTTCGTGATACTAAACTGCTATCAAAAAGCTACAATGACGACGTATATTGCTATAAAATGTCATAGACACATATGCAACATGTTATGTACACCAGGAGAACAGTGTGTTTTGTTCTATTGACGATGACCATGTCCCTTTTTCGCAGTTGGGTAAAATGACGCGTGGATTCCTGAAGTGTATTTTACTCTTGATGTTTGCAACGCTGGTGCTAGGTAAGTTTATTGTGACGTCATATTCATGTTGGTATTGTTTAGGGTGACATTCACAGAACTCACTGGAAACACTTAAAAGTTATTAACAGGGCGACATTCGATGCTTATGTTTCTATTTGAACGTCACATGTTTGTTGTGAGTGTTCTATGACATTTGATACATGAAAATAGTACCAGCAATGGCAGCACCATGCAAAAAAACGATGATAAGATAAATATAATTCATGAATAAACGAGTAATGATTATATTAAGGATTTATTTTAAAGAAGGCTATAGGTCTATAGTGTTTGCACTAAACGCCAACATGATGTACTGGATGCGTATATTTCATTGTAAAGTAGACCACTTCAAATACTTGGCTATGCTAGGAAGTTTCATTTCTTCAAGAATCAGAAAAATTTATGTTGGTGGTTGCGTTAAAGTTGTCTTATGGAGTATTTGCCACTACGTACGAAAAATAAATAAACCTGTCATACCCTCTGATAATTCGGATGGGGGTCTACTGTCATAAACGTCGGAAAAAATGGTAGGAGTAGTGTATTAGTGATTTACTGAAGCATCACAGTGCTCTAATTGTCGTCGTAGCTTGTGTAGAAGCTTACAAATATAGTCCAATAATTTTGTTAGGGAAACAAGGCGGGTTTTAGTAAATGAAGTGTGGCAAGAGTTCCGAAGTAAAGATTCGGGAACGTATGCAGCCGCAACAGCTGTTGAAGGAACAAGCAACGGTCATTCAGGCGACATCACTTAGTACAATACCTATTGTAATAGCTGTCACCATTTCAGTTCTTCGAAGCTTAAAGTAACAAGCCAGGCGATAAAGCAGGCTAACGTAAAGCGGAAATATCAACTCACATTTCTACCTGTTCATCAATAGTTTCAACACCGAGATGGTAAAAATGTTTGCCGTGTCGTTTATGCGGCACAATGTAAATTACTTGAGCAGGATATAATCTTGTGAGCTACGAATGTAAAATCACCAGAAGTGGAAGTCTGTGTACTCAGCGCCAAGATTTCAGAGCTGAAAGGATGGGCTATTGACAGAGAAAAATATAGGGTTTACGAGCTCCTAAGATTTCAGTAACATACCTCTTTGGACGCCACTGAATAAGCTATTATGTCCTTCAGCGTCCAGCTATGGAGAGGACGATGACGCCAGTGATGGCAGCGGGATGGTAAGTTTACAAAACAAGGCGGATCATCCAGCGTGTCCGGCATAACTGTCCTTCTATATAGTTCATAAACTATGTAGCTTTATGAATAACAAGTGCACTACCTTCTAATAAAAAAACAACAACGTATGAATGTTTAGATATGTTAATAACATGCTTCGTGTCGTGAGTTGCAACATTTATTGTAAAAATAAATGTAAAAACACAGGCTCAACTACTCGCTCCTTTATGAGGATGGATTCAGCTTTCCATGCATGTAAACGTTGTATTTTTTAACTATTGAGAGATTTGATAGCTGTGCAAGTTTGTACGGATCTTGCTTTCGCTGCGCATGCGTATCGTAGCCAGAAACTTTTATTTGGGTAGCAAGTTTTGACCCTACTTTATGTACATTCGTAAATGCGTTTGCATGCGTGCGTGACGATTTGCGGGAACTTTGACTTCTCCAGTGCCATTCGTGCATAGAGACATGTTCGCCAGCAGCATGTAAGTCAAAATAGAGCGGTGCAACAGAAGGAATTGTTTTTATAAGTTATTCCCTCATATACGCATTGCTTAGAATTGAAACTTCACGATAACAGTGCACCAACTATAGATGACTTCAGGTTTCGCGACAGTTTCACTTACAATGTACAGACACGAAATCTTGCATCTTCCCTGATGCTTGTAAAGCGATAGCCAGTAGGTAGTGAAGAATAACACGAAGGGCACAGAAACTGACAGCGCTTTACCCGTGTTTCGTTTGAGATTTTAACGAAATTGAGCCCACTTGCTTCCTGATGAAGCTCAGGCTTATGCCCTAAATTGACGTATATCTCATAATAATTAACATTCACCAATGCAATAAAAAACGCAAGTGATTTGGTGGTGGGAAAGTAAAGCTTTCTCTATATCATTCGGCGTACCCAACCACCGTCATTTTATACAGCGCAAATCACCACGAAGCACACTTCCTATTCTGACGAAAAATTTGCAACCTTCCTTCTGCAGAATCCTGTGGCAAGGGTGGAGGATACGCCGACAGGTGTCTCCGATCGTGCAGGTGTGAAGAATTGTTTCCTTGTTTTCAGAGATACAGTGGGCATGCCACCACACTAACCCCCCCCCCCCCCCCCCCCGGCCGCCTCCTTCTTTACATGAAATGAGTTTTCCGAGTACAACAATATTTCTCGATTACTGTTTACTAAAGCAAGATCTTAGCAGATCGGGTAGATTACAACGCCGTCTTTCTTTCGATTTTATGCCGAGGGCAGGCTGTAGTCGCCGACAACTAGGATAATCCTGCACGAGCATGCTCAACCTACGCTGGTTGGTGTGGGTTGGTATTTAATGAAACAGTGCAAAAGCATGGTATAAGGATTAATACTAGGAAACATACTAGGTTATAGCGTGCGAATCTAGAATAACCACCCTTCATAGCATGGATGTGCTCTTATAACTCGTAGTGTACACGTATGTGCAGTTGGCATCGAAAGTTTGGAGATCACAATAGGTTAGAGAAAATTTTGCCATTCTAGAATTTTCCGAGAGTAATCTACCGGGCTGCATAGTACATGTTCCTATAGCATGCTTTGGAAGAGGCCAGAGACCTACATTCATTCAAGACTACCCACCACAGCAGCGATTGTGTTCGTTTTTTTTCTTGTACCCAGTGAGTCTGAGTCCAAGTCTTTATTTCAGACATGCATACGAAAAAAAATTTTTACGCAATCTAATATTTTTCGTAATCTTTACGTAAAAAGCAAACGTACGCATATTGTGAATCACGGTAACCGTACCTGTCAGAAACAGTTGCGAAGCCGGCAGTCGATGATATACATCAGGCCCACGCTTTCTTTAGCATCCCGCATCACCGAGCTTAGTCAAGGATTAGGCACTTTTAGTTGGGCGTACGCAACGATCTAACGTACGCAACACGATACGCAGCGCATGCTGCCATCGAAGCACTCCACAGGGAGTTTTGGAATAGCGCACCGCGAGCCCTTGCAGTGCGGTCGCTGCCACTGCGCATGCGTCGTAACTCGAGTCAGTGTTCACGTTCACGGACCGCACGCAGAAAATCTGAAATTGCGTGCGGTGATGGCAGCCCGCATGTGGCCCGCAAGCGCTGGTTTCGAGGCTACGGTGTCGCTGCGATCGTGCGTTGCGGTTCGCATAAGGGCCATCTTGCTAAGAAGCGCAGCCACTATAACAAAGAACACACAACACAAGCGCTTAACTTCAACTAAACGTTTATTTCAAACGTCAGAGTATATAAAGGGGAAGAAAAGAGAAAAAGAGCAAAGTGAATGAAAAAGATAAAAATGGTAGACAACAAAAAACACACGTGCCAGTCCCGTACATCGCTATCCGTTATTGTCTATCACCCCATCCAAAAAACATAGTTCTTTCCGCGTGAGCGAGATAGAGGGTGCACTTACACAATCAAAATCATCGCGTGTCATTTCAGCCGCTTCTACTATCAAACGGGTTAACAAATCTCTGTCTCGATACAGCACGCACGTGTTATCAAAATAAGGCACACAACCGCACTCCTTACAGTGGATCGCCAAGTGACCATCAGTACCCTTCTGCACTTTATTGTGGTGCTCCTTTAGCCTTTCATTGATGCATCTTTCGGTTGTTCCCACATAAACAAGACCACATGACAAGGGAACTCTGTAAACAACAGACTGTGCACACTCAACAAATTTATTGCGATGCTTAATTTGGCAACCTTTCTTTTCTTTTGAAACAGGACAAGTTTGGCGACATATTCTGGACAGTTTTTCAGGAGCAGACATAACCACTCGGACGCCCACCTTATTACCAATATTTTTAAGATTGTGCGCCACACTATGGATATAGGGGACAACAGCCGTTTTTCGCTGCTGCAGGGAAGTGGTAATACGCTGCCTACTTTGTTTCTTTAGGTCCCTATGTAGCGATTCAGCGACGCTTATAACCATTCGTTGTGGGTAGCCTGCTGCCATCAGACGCAAAACCTGTTGCTCAAAGCTCTTCTGCATGAGGTGAAAACATGACTTCTTCAACGAATTAAAAAGGCACATTCGCGCAACAGACCTCTTCACTACTTTGGTATGTGCAGAAGAGAAAGGCAACAATGGCTTTTTGCTCCTGGGCTCATAAAGCCAGCAAACGTGGTCATCTTGAAATTGCAACGACAGATCTAGGAACCTGAGCGTGTCACCATAGGGCATTTCATGTGTAAGTTTCAGAGGCTGGCAAACTGTCTCAAATACTTCAAGTGTCAAAACAGCAGCACTTTGAAACTCTTTGGCATCACACTTTAAAAAAACCAAATAATCATCCACAAACCTGAAGATCTTTAAAACCTTAGTTCCCGACAACCTCTCATCAATTAATCGATCTAAGTGGGCCATGAAAATATCACTAAGGACGGGAGCAATGGCGGAACCAATACAAATACCCTGTTTTTGGATATAGGTGTTCCCATTCCAATTTACGAATGTGGACGTTAAATACAAAGCCAGTAAATCTAGAAAACCTCTCACTGACATACCACAAGTGTTCTGAAAGGTCACTGCACTATGCTCAAGTATGCACTCCTCAACAAATTCTAGAAGCATTTCATGGGGTAAAGAATAGTACAAATCCTTCACATCTATGGACAACGCCTTAACGACAGTTTTGGCATTCGATACCAAAAAATTCACAATCTGCTCAGAATTCTTAGTGTGAAAGGGGTCATTGATATGAAGGAGATTCAGCTTTTCCTGTAGAAAAAACGCCACATTTTTTTGCCAAGAACCTTGTTCCGAAATAATTACCCGGAACGGCATTCCATCTTTGTGCGTCTTGCAACTAAAAAACAAGTCTAAGCCCAGTTTATCCGTTTTCATGATCTGTTTAGCCAAATCATGCAATCATGTTGAGGAGTGCATACTTGAGCATAGTGCAGTGACCTTTCAGAACACTTGTGGTATGTCAGTGAGAGGTTTTCTAGATTTACTGGCTTTGTATTTAACGTCCACATTCGTAAATTGGAATGGGAACACCTATATCCAAAAACAGGGTATTTGTATTGGTTCCGCCATTGCTCCCGTCCTTAGTGATATTTTCATGGCCCACTTAGATCGATTAATTGATGAGAGGTTGTCGGGAACTAAGGTTTTAAAGATCTTCAGGTTTGTGGATGATTATTTGGTTTTTTTAAAGTGTGATGCCAAAGAGTTTCAAAGTGCTGCTGTTTTGACACTTGAAGTATTTGAGACAGTTTGCCAGCCTCTGAAACTTACACATGAAATGCCCTATGGTGACACGCTCAGGTTCCTAGATCTGTCGTTGCAATTTCAAGATGACCACGTTTGCTGGCTTTATGAGCCCAGGAGCAAAAAGCCATTGTTGCCTTTCTCTTCTGCACATACCAAAGTAGTGAAGAGGTCTGTTGCGCGAATGTGCCTTTTTAATTCGTTGAAGAAGTCATGTTTTCACCTCATGCAGAAGAGCTTTGAGCAACAGGTTTTGCGTCTGATGGCAGCAGGCTACCCACAACGAATGGTTATAAGCGTCGCTGAATCGCTACATAGGGACCTAAAGAAACAAAGTAGGCAGCGTATTACCACTTCCCTGCAGCAGCGAAAAACGGCTGTTGTCCCCTATATCCATAGTGTGGCGCACAATCTTAAAAATATTGGTAATAAGGTGGGCGTCCGAGTGGTTATGTCTGCTCCTGAAAAACTGTCCAGAATATGTCGCCAAACTTGTCCTGTTTCAAAAGAAAAGAAAGGTTGCCAAATTAAGCATCGCAATAAATTTGTTGAGTGTGCACAGTCTGTTGTTTACAGAGTTCCCTTGTCATGTGGTCTTGTTTATGTGGGAACAACCGAAAGATGCATCAATGAAAGGCTAAAGGAGCACCACAATAAAGTGCAGAAGGGTACTGATGGTCACTTGGCGATCCACTGTAAGGAGTGCGGTTGTGTGCCTTATTTTGATAACACGTGCGTGCTGTATCGAGACAGAGATTTGTTAACCCGTTTGATAGTAGAAGCGGCTGAAATGACACGCGATGATTTTGATTGTGTAAGTGCACCCTCTATCTCGCTCACGCGGAAAGAACTATGTTTTTTGGATGGGGTGATAGACAATAACGGATAGCGATGTACGGGACTGGCACGTGTGTTTTTTGTTGTCTACCATTTTTATCTTTTTTATTCACTTTGCTCTTTTTCTCTTTTCTTCCCCTTTATATACTCTGACGTTTGAAATAAACGTTTAGTTGAAGTTAAGCGCTTGTGTTGTGTGTTCTTTGTTATAGTGGCTGCGCTTCTTAGCAAGATGGATCTTTACCAACTGGCCCGATACAATTGTTTATTAAGTCGCATAAGGGCAAACGCTATTCTAAAACTCTTATGGCACCCGCTTTGCCCGCAACGCCCGCAGTGCTTGCAAATGGTATTCCAAAACTCCCTAACAACACTTTCAGTTTACCGTATCGACCACAGCGGGATGCGTTTTGTTCAACTATAGGCATATCATATGAAAAATCAAACAGCTTCCGAGTGCTTCCTAGCGTCATCGTTTGGTAGCGACCGTGATAACGCCCTCTGACATCCAAGTCAAACCGAATCGTTGGATCCATGGTTTTACGTTCTGTGCCATCTTGCAATCTCACTGCTCTTTCATTCGAAATCTCACGAGAGCGTCACGTAGCTTGCGCTACGTATCGTTATGTTTACGTGGGTCAGTTTTTTTCTTTTCAGGGTGTAGGCACGCATCCGTGGAATAGATGCGCACTGTGTACGGGCACTTCTCTGCCGTAGCCGTACTGCATGCGTAGGCTCATTAAGCAACTCTGGGCTCGTTACGTACGCCCAACTAAAAACTTCTAATATACCTGCCAGATTGTGTACCGCTTGGCACGTATGCTTTAAAGGCAAAACAATCGTGTCATTGCACGCTACATTGAGAGCTGTTCACTCTCAACTGAATTGTGTCGTTCTAAGAAGACTCGGCATACAGCAGAACTACTTATTCGTACTGTCAGAGAGCGGAAATCTAAGAGGTGCAATGTTAAAACTGATTTCAGTGTCAAATGGGAAAACGTGAACTTTACGGCGTCTATCTTTGCGAAACATTGCACGACATACTATATACCACGAAAAATATTAGAATACGCGTACTAAACACACGCTTTTCGTAGATCCTCCTTTGTAAATATAATACTGGAATGAAATAATATCGTCAATACAAGTGATAATGAATTTTATTTCCCATTAATAATGCCCACAACATTTCTGTCAATATCGATGGCTTGTTATCTAGAAGCATTGTGAAGTATAAAATGTGTGATTGTGATGCTTAGAATTTGTGTAATTCAATATTATTGAAATGCTTTCCGCTTCAAAGTACATTGTTTATTGTTGTGTTTTTTTTTCTATGAAGTAGCCGTACCATGTTATGATTCATTTCCAGTTCCCGTTGCACAATGTCTTATGGTAATCTAGGTGAAGTGTAAATAAATAATATTACAATTACAGCATGCTACACCCCCTCATCTTTCTACACATTTTCACGAAGCATTTAGAAAAAACATCATTATGAGAGATTAAGCTGCTGTTGTTTAGGCAAGATCTTCAAGTTGAACATGAAATCAACGTAAGGGACGAAACTTTGTTAAACTATAGAATGCCTTTATAACTGTGATACTTTTCCTTCCAGAGGGTGGCAACAAAGAAGGAAGCAGAACCTACGAAAACGAAAATCGCTCTCGATATCCGCCTAGGAGGAGGATTAGGTAGCTTTAGAGACAGCCTGGGACCCTCGTTAGATGGAAGAAGAGTTCGGACCGTACAAAAAAATAAAGTCCTCGCTGCGGACATTTCGAACTTGTCTGTGAATATTTGGCCCAATATTTTTGCGAGTTTACGGTTTTCGATAAATAATCATAAAGACAGCTTTTTACTGACACTACAAGATTCTACCCCAGAAATGGCGCGAAAATTGCCCAAAAGCTTGCTGGAGGCGCTCGAAATGTTTACAGGTGTTTCACATCATCCTGAAAACACTTTTTTATTTCTTGTGAGGCGCTGCAGAGTAAAAAAACAGAGACGGCACAGTGTTGCGCATCACTACGTGTCGTCATTGTTTTTTTCCCTTACCCGGCAGCGCATCACAAGAAGACGCACCAACTAGCCCCCTTTGCCACCTTCTCTTTCTTGTTCTTCGGCAGTGCATTGTGGCTTTAATTTCCCGGATTCAAGCAAAAGAAAACCTTCTTTTATACTTAAAAAAGTCATATTATGTTTTTCTACGGAGTCTTCAGCTTGATCAGAGAAATGGAAAGGGACATTCGATATGTCTGTAACTGGGATAGCTTTATGCGTAGCAAGCTATTGAAAAACTACACATGATCTTTCATCTACGTATTCAGAAAATGCATGTGCGAAAGTGTAACAGAAATCTCCGACTATTAACCGAGGGTCTCGAAACGATAAAAAGAAACTGAATATACGAACAGCGTAACAGACAAGGCCAGAAGAAGGTAACAACACACATCCATGAAACTATCCCACGCAAAACGAAATGGACGGCCACTGTTTTGTAACATAACATTTAGAGTTGACAGTCGGGGAGACACGAACACATGTTGCCGTTCATAAATCACAGATGCCACATCGTGAACTCTGCCATGTCGCAGTCACGCGTCGCTTTCTATTTCGCGAGCAGGCGTGAGCACTAGCAGCTGCGCCGCGTTAATCAGATGCTGTTCATTCGGCAACGTTCAGTCGGCAGCAGCAGCTGCACACTCGGCGAACTGACGATTGGTTGAGTTCACTTCACTGGGTCAATGAGAGTGCGCAATACACCATTTACAGGCAAAAAAAAGGTAGTACGGTAGACATATTACGGAGAGTAAGGATAGTACGGAGAGTAGGGATCCGTACTGTACATATGACACTTGTCTAGAGCAGTGGAGACCGTGGATGTCGGCACTGTTGTTGGCCGACGAACCTACGTCATGTTGTCTACAAGCTTCAGTTCATGATTAAATATAGCACAAGCGCCTAGAACGTGGCATGGCAATGTGTAGTACCATTATGGCGTCGGTATTTGCATAATATTGGAAATAAACGGCAGCTGCAAAGGTAGGCCTGGTGCTCTAGGCAAGTGTGATTCTGTATGTACGCGTCGTGTCATTGTAGCTTCGAGGTCGTGGCGGCCTTATACATCTCAGGTCGACCTTTATCAGTGAAACAGCTCCAATATAACGCGAAACCGATAGAGGTGCGAAGCACCACTCTTTCCCATAGGAGAACGTCAATAGCAATGAGGACAAGGTCCTTTCATACCCATAAGCGCACGTCAATTGCAATGAGGGCAATGTCCTCTTATTCCCATAGAGACACGTCAATAACAATAGTAGCAGAGTACTCTAATTCCCATAGCAACACGTCAATAGCATTAAGGACAGAGTGCTCTCATTATCATAGAAACACCTCATTAGCAAAAAGGCCAGGGTCCTCTCATTGCCACAGGGACACGTCAATAACAATAAGGGCATGGTCCTCTAATTCCCGTAAGAACACATCACTAGCAATGAGAACAAGGTCTTCTCAATTTCACAGGGACACGCCAATAGCAATGAAGACAGGGTCCTCTCATTCCCATAGGGAATGAGAAGAACATAGCAATGAGAAAAAGGCCTTCTCATGCACACAGAGGCACGTCGATAGCAATGAGGACTTAAAATCCTCTCATTCACATAGGGGCACGTTAATAGAAAAAAAGGACAGGGTCCTCTCAGTGATACAGATAGCGCCCATAACAGAAACAATGCTTTTCCTGAGCTGGTGCCGTCTTGCTTGCCACTTGCTTTTTCGTGACGGGCTACGACTAGAGACAGTGGACGGGCTACGGCAATAGGAGATGCCGACCCGAGTGCATAAGCTGATTCGCACCTGAAATGCATAACCAGAGCCGAAACTTCAAGACAAGACGAGCAGCTTGATGAGCTCTCTCGACAGGGTATCAAAACGTTCAGCCCGCCAATGTGTAGCAAACGCCTAAATAAAGAACTCACGTCTGCAAGATACGAAACCACACGCCACAGCCACAATTAAGTGAAACAAGCGTTAAAAGCTGGACAATTTGGTAATGTGTTCATCTTCGCCGAACTGCGCAACCGCAATCGTCTGTCTCGTTTCGTTCCTTGTTTGGGTCCCGTCTGTTGCGCAGTTTGCCAAAGAAGAACAATAAGGCATAGAGGCTGGGTGTGTATTTTGTGCGATGTGATGATTTAGTTTTCAGCGTATACCCTACCAATTATTCAGTGGCTAGAAGTGGGCTGTTGTTCCCCTCACGTTTTTCTGTATTTACAACGAGAGGCATTGTAGGAGAAATTGTAATCCGCGAGAAACAGCTGCAGCTATTTATTATGAAGGCGCACCTATATTAGGGCGTGACTGGAGTACCTTGCCTATGTTGTTCAATACATGTTTCAAAGTAGTGAAGAGTGCAAGGAAATTCCGTAGTGGCATAAAGTAGTGCTGACACATGTGATTACTACTGTCCTAATAGCAGCGACATCAGCAGCACTTTTATTCGAAAAAAAAAAACAACGCCTCGATGAGTCACTTGAAGTTCTTGTCGAACACCATTTTCATTATCTTGAGCATGTTGAAATTAGGGCAGTTGTCATCCAGTACGCTGACTGCAGTGAGACAGAGGGCGTTGTAATCAGTCAACATATGACGCACCTAAAAAAATAGGCAATAATAGGAGGGTCACGTAACGTAGAAGAAGTAAACTGCTAATGTCATTTCCGCGATTTCTCGCGATTGCATTACAGGTAAATTTGTGACTGATTTAGCTATCCTCGAAAGAGTAGGGAAAAATGGCAAATGACCAAAGACGGCGGTTCAATGAGCACTGTGCTTATTGAGGAACATGTGGCATAGAGGTCGTACTCTTCCAAATCATGGGCAATGTTTAAACAGTTGGGCAAAAAGCAATGGTGCAGCGAAATTTTGAAAATGGTTTGTGTTAAGCTTACCTAAATTGTTCGTTTGAAGTGCCCTCACTTACATAGTGTTAATAGCTTCATAATTTGAGTTACCGTGCAACAGATTCTGAGATGTGCAAGCCGAATTGTTGTGAAATTGGGCCTCTGACATCGTCTCAAATAAGCGAGAATGAACGGTGGTACTAGCATGGAGGGGATTACTTGACGTACGTTTTCACATTCACGTTTTCTAAAACTCTCTCCAGGAGCGCTGGCACAAAATTTTATCACATCGAGGATAGCTGCATCCGAAATAGCACTGCGTACAATTATAGAATCCTAAAGGAGAATGTATCAAGAAAAAGAAACGGACATGGGCCGGACGCGTAGCACGTAGGAAGGATAACCGCTTGTCATTAAGAGTAACTGAGTGAATTCCAAGGGAAGGCAAACACACGAAGGGGAGACGGAAAGTTAGGTGGGCCGACGAGATTAAAAGGTTTGCGGGTACAACGTGGCAACGGAAAGCACAAGACCGGGTTGACTGGCGGATCATGGGAGAGGCCTTTGCCCTGCAGTGGGCGTAGTCAGGCTGATGACTGATGATGATGACATTTGTAGTGGCTTTACAATAGACAGCATGCGCCTACAGCTTTCCTAGAAGCAGCAAAGTGACAGTGAAAATAATTATCTCTATCTTTTGCCATGTCGTATCTATGACTGTCACATAATCATTTTTGACGATCACGCGAAAAAGCTGTACTAGTTGCTTCAAAATATGTAAGGAACTTTCTTTTTGGTCAAATAGTTGTTTGAGCAATAATATTTACTTTCGTGGGACGACTGTTCTAAGCCGTCAAAGCCGTCAGAAATAGTGTAAGACAACAGGGCCTACATTTTCAGAAACGGAGCACATGAATGAGAAGCATTCGAGCAAGAGACAGCTGAAAGTGCTCATGACGCTGGAGGAAATACGTCCATGTCAAAACCCTCCTTTTTTTTTTCAAATTCGGAGTGCCCGTGCACCATATCCAAGAGAAAGCGCCGGAAACGTTTGGTGTGGCTAAGGCTGGGCAGGAGCAGAGTTACTCTGTATACCTTTAGGTAGCAGAGATGCGCCTTTGATAGAACTCGCCGCTCGCGCTACTTGCCAAGTGCAACCACGAGTGCGAAAAGTAGCCTTTGGAGAGAAAGCCAACTTAGCAACACCGAAGGTGCAAGAGGCCGCCGAACCACCACCACCACTCTACCGCCGTGCCATCTCTGCCTAAGCAGTTCGGCTAAAGTTACTGC